TAGATGTCTCTGGATCAGAGAGCATAAAAAGTGACAAGTTCTATCTTACTTCATCGTTGCCCGATGGTGTGTTGCAACAAGTAGAGGTAAGTATCAACTGTGATATTACATCTTTGGCACATAGAGATGTACTCGTCTTTGAATGTTTTTTTTGTTTCTGTCAGCTAAGCAGTGAAGCTCCAGCCTCTCCCTCTGCAGTGAGCTCTCCCAGTCTCGGCACCAAGAGGTTCTCCTGCCGAATCTGCATGGAGTCTTTCCATGGACGCTCTGACATGGAGAACCACAAGAGGGCGCACTTGGATCCCAACACGTTCAAGTGTCCTGACTGTGACTTCACTTCCTCCTCCTGGCCTGAGGTTAAGGTGTGTCTCTCAAAATTATGCAGCGCCGTCTTCAATTATCGTATGTGAGTCATTATATCATCATGCTGGTATCTGTTACTCTGTAGACAGCCATGTGAACACAACACACACCTCAGATGACCTATATGAAGTAGATGTTATGATCTGATGTGTGCAATCCATGTGCCTCTTGAGTTTTTATTTTATCATAATATATTTGTCTTCATTGAAAAAGCACAGGTAACCATATTTATAGTCACAGGCTGCCATGAATCAAATATTTTCCACAGGGCACAGTAATATTCATATTTTCACAGCTCATAAAATTACATTGTATCAGTGTAAAAGACAAGAAAGGAGTTTCTAAAATGCTATTCCACAGACATTTTTTGTATTGAATTGTCTGTCATTTCAAAAGCATTTCTGTCCTTTGGACCTTGACTTTTCTGACAGTGGTTGATATCCTGCTTTATTTTAGGCTCACATGGAGCTGCACTCCTACTTACGTCCCCACAAGTGTCCAAACTGCAGCTTTGCCTCCAAGAACAAGAAGGACCTGCGTCGACACATGATGACCCACACCAACGAGAAACCCTTTTCTTGCAAACTCTGTGGACAAAGGTCAGAAGTAATTTGGGTTGAGGCAAAACATGTGTTTAGTAAACAGCATAAACTCCTTTGTGACATGCTTATATGAATTAGACCACAAAGTGGTGAGGAAAATCTGTTCATGTTAAATGAAACATATTATTTGTTCAACATCTCAGGTTTAACCGTAATGGCCATCTGAAGTTTCACATGGAGCGTCTCCACAATCAGGATCATCCTAATCGCAAGACTCGTACTGACTCATCTCAACAAACCATCATAGTCAACAGTGACGAGGAGGCTTTAGCCACGCTGCAGTGTAAGGAACCCTAATACATGTAGCATTAGAGTTTGCATCTGATCTAAAGGTTTTAAACAGAAGACACAAAATAAATCTAAACCTGTTTGTGTGTGCATGTCTGTACTTACAACAGCCCTGCAGGCGCATCAGACGGTTATTACTCCAGAGCGGTTGCAGGCCTTGGGACAGGAGCACATAATTGTAGCTCAAGAACAGACGCTGTCAGACCAGGTAACTTCCCTACATATTCGTAACTTCACGCAATTCTTTAAAACTCTTTTTGCATGCAGTAAATTGGTAGTCCTCAGTGTATTACTAAATGTATTAATGTATGTAATTTCAGGAGGAGGGCACATACATTCAACAGATAACCACCATAGATGGACAGACGGTTCAGCACCTGATGACAGGAGACAACCAGGTGACAGAGGTTAGATTCTACCACTTCATGTTTTAATGTACATTACAAAACTTAAAGTAAAATAAATATATCAGAAAAAAGTTCCAGTTTCACTTTCTGCTCACATGTCACACGTCCTCTTTCAGGTCCAGTATATCATCTCACAAGATGGAGTTCCGCATTTGATCCCTCAGGAGTATGTAGTAGTAGCTGACGGTAACCACATACAGGTCAGTGTGACACCTGCCGTTATGAGTTACTCTAACGGATGATGATCTTATTATGTGCTGTGACACTAACTGATCTCTAACTGTTCCTCAGATGCCAGATGGACAGATCATCCAGTATGAGCATGATGGGGCCTTTCTGCAGGAGCAGCAGGTGAGGAGCATCATCTGAAATGCTCTACACAGTAGCAGTTTATTGTTTTGACAGAAGTTCATTGCTCCATATTTTTTATGTGTTCAGATCGCCGTGAGTCACGATGGTCAGATCCAGTATCTGCCCGTCAGCTCGGAGCAACAGATAGTGAATCCTGAAGACCTGGAGGCCGCAGCCCACTCTGCTGTCACAGGTCAGCTCCCTAAAGGAACAGATGGCACTAGTCCTACATTACACTATTAGACTCTTTGTATTTACCAAACGCGTCATCAAACGCCATCAATGTTATTCAGCAAATCACATTTCCCAAAGGCTTTAAATTTAAAAACTATAAGCCGGTGACTCCCTCTCACTTATCTACTATAACTAGAGCTCAACTGATTTTTTGGGGGCCGATACCAATATTAGACAGTAAAAATGTCTAATACTGCCAATGTTTTCTAAGATTGAAGAAGTTATGAGCTTTGATATTTAAATGTTTTACCATAAACTTTATTATAAATAGCTATAAATGGAAACAAAACACAAATAGAACCAAATATAAAGATATTAAAATTTAATAATTATAGTTTTAAAATATAAAACATAAATATACATCTGTAAAATTCAAGTTTTCCTCTCGGCACATATCTGAAGTGTTAATAAATCGAACATTATTACTGATTCCGATGTGAAAGGCTCATATTGGCCGGGTTAGGGGGTTCATTAATCGGTTGGGCTCTAATTATAATCAGTCAGATAAATACAGTATAAGTTAGTTTAGATTTTACACTTCGAATAAATAATATAATAAATTGATTGTTACGACTATTAAAAATAAAATAAAAATGTGTATTTAAAATCTTGCTCTCGATTAGTTGATGCAGCATCAAGGAGACAAGAACGATGCTATTCTCTGCAGGTTGATTGTCAAACTTTACTAAAATGACTGGAAACAATCTGGTTGTCAACCGTGTTTTATGCTTTGTGGGTATACACCATTCACAGATAATGAGCAAACAACATGCAAAAGAACAGATGAGTTGCTGTGGGCAACCAGCTCATGATCTTATTTACCTATGGGCATAACAATAACTTGAACTATGAAATCACCTTTATGAAAACTAATCGCAGCAATAGCACGAGACAACAAATCAAACTAAATGGATCATCTTTGTTCCTGTAGCAGTAGCAGAGGCAGCGATGGCGCAGACTCAGACGGTCTACACTGAAGCTACACCCGAACAGCTGGAACAGCTGCAGCAGCAGGGCATCCACTATGATGTCATCACTTTCACTGATGAATAGACGGCTTCTTAAAGCTACTTGGACTCAAACCTGCGTTGACCAGGACCAGTACAAACCACTATGAGCTGACAAGTACAGTGCAGTGACCTCAACTTATTTATGCATTCAGCTGGCTGTGAACTAAAGCATTGTGTCCTCCACGGTATCATCTGCTCGGGGGTGTTTGCACTGTTTAGTAAGATCAACAGCTTTTTGTAAATTCAGATTATTGCACCCAGCGCTTCTAACTTAATCATAGGGGCTGTGCATTTAGGAGCTGGATTGTAATTATTAAAATGTATTTGTGTTTATGTGCCTCAACTGCTTCGATTTGCAAGACAATGTTATCAAAGAAAAAATGAAACGGCTTATATCATGTGTTTGGAAATATACTGAGTATCCAAATGAACATTTGAGTTTTCAGATGGAGTAAATGGAAAGGGGAGCGTGTATTTTTGATCTGTAATAAGACATGTTGATTGCTAGAATGCCACAACCTTATGTTTACTGAATATGAACATGTATATACCTTTTACATTTGTCTTTTGTTCTGTAAAGAATGATTTTTTTTTGGATTAGAGAATATGAAGTGTTTAATAAGCTAAAAGCTGACACCAAATAAATCACTTTGTGTATATTCTCTGTATCCATAAATACTCTATTGATTTCTTATATCTATTCCTATGTATTTTTATATACTGAATTACTGCAGCAGACATTTCAAGTTATTCCAGTACAATCACTCTGCTGAGTTAGAGATCAGCTGATTCGCCTCTTTAGTTATTTTTTGTGGTCTGATATTGCGACATAGTGAGCTAATGAAACTGCATGCGCAACATTTTGCAGTAGAACATTGGATGACGCAATTTAATAAAATGCAATTCAATCAAAACCAACACAAATAAAGATAATATAACAATGGAAATATACAACCTCTAAAATGTTCTTTACAGTTAAAACATACCATATCATGTACTTAAAGCAACTCTATGTAACTTTTACTGAGCAACAGCGCCCTCTGCAGCCAAACGTGTTGATTAATTCTTTTTGCTCTTGTCCAAGCAATTAAGTGGTTTTCATTTAGAAACAAAAAACTAAAAACATCAATCTCACACGGTCACTATTTACCCATGACCCCCAGCTTCCTATTACAGCTGCAACATTTGCCACAAATTACGCAGCTCCACAGTTCTCACAGGAAATCGTAGCCACTCATCAAAGTTATATTGAGCAAGAACACGACCAGGGTGAGGAGTGTCAATGAAAGAGGAACTATTTAAACTCACTTTGAAGCTGCTATTTTAAGGTAATGTTGCAAGTTTAAAACAACCAAAGCTGACCAAAAAACACTCAAATAGGAAAATAAAAGAATGAAAAAGAAAGAAAGAAAAGGTTAAACATCAGAAATATTTGAGAAACAAACTCAACTCCAGCCATTATGATGATGATGATGATTATGATTATTATTAGTAGTAGTAGTAATAATATTATATTAATTTTGACCTTGATTCTGGAGACATGAACCAGATCAACCAAATAAACATTCAATGAATTCTTTAAATAAATTCTGAATTTGTCAGGAAGCAAGTTAATCTCAGTTTCTGAGCTGATTCCATTTCCACTTCCTCATCTTCCCTGTGTGAGGTGGAGCCTCAGATCCTCTAAAAATTATGTAAAGCTGTAAAAAAAAAAAACAAGCTCTGAGACTTGATGAGAATGACACTGAAGATGACATTTTCCTTCGTCTTTCTTCTTTTATTAGGTATGAAAAAAAGTTTTAATACCAATTTTTGCAGTTTGCAATTCAGCCAGTTCATTTAGTGAGATATTAATAAGAGATGTTTGTTTTCCAGACTTCCCTGATCTCAACAGGCAGCAGAAGATCGAGGAGTTTCAACACATTCTGCTGAGCCTCACCTTCCCTTCCTTTTACAACAATCACAAAAAGTCCTGCTGTAAACTCTACCCGAACAATTGTTTCAAACTGATGGACAGCACAGGATACGCCTGCGAGCTGCTGAGAGGAAGGGTGACCATAACTGAGAACGACGGTTGGATCGAGTTCAAAATATCAAATATGCGGTTTGTGGATGCAGGCTTCTACAGATGCTTTGTGCTGGACACCTACATCTACACTGACTACTATATTGAGGTCACAGGTAGGATAAGTATTTCTACAATTCAAGATAAATGTTGGTTTGCAAAGTTGTGTTTTATTGTCCCCTCACCTCTTTGTAAAGGATTGAAACTCTGCTCCTCATCTCATATGATGTTCTTGCATTTTGCAGAATCCTCAATTCACCGCAGTTCATCTCAGCCTCTGCTTTCAACAACCATGAAATCCCTCAGCACCTCCACATCACCCCGACCAGACTCCACCGGGCCTGTTCTCTCACAGGACCACAGCGACAGTCACAGGTAGATTAACTCATTTTCTTATTTCTTGCTGGTTGTATATTGTTTTCTGACTGAAGAAGAAAAAGTGTTCATCTGAATTTCTGTGTGTCCCTCACAGCGTGCCCTGGAGTTTTAGCCTGCCCCTATTGATCGTCGTGTCTGTTACACTGATGATTGTGATCTCTTTGGTTGTCAGTGTTGTTTGCTACAGAGCGAAGACAAAACGTGAACAGCCGGGTCAGTTTCCTTAAATAGTTTATCTGAGTGATTCAGTAAAAAGAATTCAAAATAGATGTGAATTTGATGTTTTTTTTCTTTGCAGACAAATGTGGAGAAACTTCGTGTGAGTCACAGAAACAGGATGCATTGGTGGGTGCTAAACAGGGACCATGTCGCCTCATGTGACTCACGGTCACTTGTCTTAGAGAGCATATTTCTTCCTCTGCACGGCAGCGTCTCTTGACTACATTTGTCTCCTGCAGGAAACCAACAGCGTTGTCTACTCAACAGTGGACTTCAGAGCTCATCAGGAATCCACAGAGGTGTATGCAAACGTGAGGATTCCCAAAACACGAGCGGGAGCCCTGGACCCTGCAGCGCTCACTGAGGCAGTGGAGTACTCCACACTGGCAATCCACCAGTGAATTCAGGGGAAAGTCTCTGATTTTAATCTGGGGCTGATTCTATTAGTTACACTGCTGTTTTCTTTTTTACATTATCCCCCTGCCCCCATCATGAATGAAGAATGAAGGGTCCAGCACTTTTGGAGCTTAAGGGACGGGAAATCTTGACCTCTGTTGCTTTTATTTGTCTCTATGTCACTTTTGTGTATGTAAATGTGCATGAGCTATTGTGAAACTGATTGAGGGCCTAAAATCAAAATGATAATGGGATTAAAGAAATTATCTAATGATAACTATAGACAAAGGTTTTGTGTGAATTCCTTGAGGTTTGATACTTTTGAAATCTTCATGGTGAAAAACCATTGTTAGCTTGTGACATTTTAGCTTTTCCTACATCACTGTTTGTTTGTATAAACTTCATCTGGATTATAGCCCCACCTTGACCTCTGATATTCTGCAGATCATTTTTTCTTTTTCTTTTCTTTACACAAAAAAAGATCTGGTTTCTCTGGGGAGCAGACTGAACTCATTCTTATTCCTGTGACATTTTGGAGCAACACTCTACCTTAACCTCCTGTGAACAAAGATTTCCAATGTTTTGTAGGACTCAGTTGTGAGCTTTGGTGTAGTCACCATGGATACAGAGGAAAGCACACAGAAAGTTTTTGTTGCTATCTTTTTATTGCAAAGGCTACATATACACATCTATATTTTCCATTTTGTCTCCTGCTCAGTCATGTCCTGACATTTACAGGCAATCCATCAGGTGTCTCATTTGATTACACAGACTTGGCCAGACCAATGTACTTAGACTGGGCATCAAAGATGGTGTAGTACTCCCTGATGAAGACGTCTCCCAGGATCCAGAGCTGGTCAGAGCCGCCCTGGCCAAAGCCAGTGTTGCAACCATAGTAGCTCTGTGGTGAGATAGGAGGAAAAACAATATGTAATTCCATCAACTTTTCATTATAGGGTTGAACAGTTTTCTGTTTCAGCTAGTGCCCAACTGACCTGAGAGACGTAGGCAGATGCAGGGACGGTGAAGGCCTTTCCATTGAGAGTGAAGGTGACTTCAGGCATTCTCTGGATGTTCTGGCAGTTCACTGTAGCCTGAGAGAAGAACATCACATGCAGAGTTGAAGAGACCGTGCAGCAGCACAAGTTTTATTTATTGCTATTTTACAGTTTTCCAGCTGATGCAAGCACTCGAGGTTCTGCTTAATTATTTTTATTAGAGAGTTTTGACGTCAGAGCGTGTCATGTCTGTTTACTGTGGGTTCAGAAAAAAGGGAAAATCTCTGTCGATGGTGAGGTGTCATGGTGTGACTCACCTCTCCGTACTGGTTGGTTGAGGCTCCAACCCAGGAGTTCATGTTGTTGATGTCATTGGTTGGGCCAACGATCAGGGAGGTGCCGGTGTCGATGATGGCCTGGCAGCCTCCGGAGCAGGCCACAGTCTGTCCGTTGATGGTAACACTGTGGGGGGGGACAGCAGAAGGTGGATTACACTCAAGACAGAGCACATTTCTGTTGGCATGTGAATAGGGAATCAAACACTTTGCTCTGCGTCACTGATTTCAGATGCATTTCCTCCTACCTGTCCATCTTGATCTGCCAGTAGGTGGCAGAGGTCAGAGGGATCCAGCTGACTTGTCCAGTGTAGTGGTTGCCATCGATACCACCGAAGACCACCTCACTGCCCTGCTGATTATTGCTGAGGGATTCCAAAACAAACAAATGTCATACATGAATTACATTTCCTGTAAAACACTGACACACCCAAACCAGAAGATTCCCGTCTCGGTAAGCACCTGCTCAGGTAGACAGAGAACAGGGGCTGGGACACGAGGTTCTGCTTGATCATGTTATCGAAGACGGGCACGACGTTGTCGGAGGCGATGCTCTGGAAGGCAAGACCCAGGATGCCATCAGCCTTCATGTGGGCCATGAAGGGAGCCTCTGATTGGCTGATTCCAAACACCTGATTGGCCACAGAGATGCCGCCCACCTGGACAAAGACCACAGCTGTCAGTCACATCTGAACAGACCACGGCGACGCTTTCTGTCTGTTCAAAGTCTTACTGTTCTCTGCCTTTTGTTCCAGAAGGTTTGTTTACCTCAACAGTGTCACTGGCCAGATATCCAGTCATGCTGCCAGTGCCGTACTGGATGGACAGGGGCCGGTTGCCCCAGTGGAAGGTGGAGGACTGCTGGGGGTTGAATCTCTTGTGGTTCTCTGAAGAGGAACAATTGCTTTTTCAAAGTTTGCAAGCAACTTGGACCCTTTCTAGTGATGTAGTGATTCACAGACTGAATTAATAAACTGTTACAGAGCAAGTGGTGAATGACGCATTTAGAACTTTTATTTTTTAATTTTATATAATTTCAATGGATCTGGTCACAGTCTAGTTATTATTATTAACATACACCCAGGACATTTGATCCATGCCGTGTGTATTCAATTTATTATATATAATGTATTATATTTATAATTAAAACATTAAGCCACAAAGTAACTCATGACATGTGCTGTCAAAGAAAAGTGGTAAAATAAAAGGAAGAATAAAGAAGCATGAAACACAAGCTCCTCAAAATATACCATTTTTAGAACAATTTTAGAAAATACAGTAAGTTGCTAACTTATACTTATACAACCTGGGCTGCAGTTGTAATCTCAGTGGAACTCACCACAGGCCTGGCTTGAGCAGTAGACTGAGGGGATCCACAGGTTGGAGGAGCCAGTGTCAAAGATGACGCTGAAGGACTGAGGAGGGGTGCCGATGGAGATCACACCATAGTAGGACAACTAGAGGGACACGAGAAGACACATATGCAGGACAATATGGTAAGTACACGATGCAAACTGCCTGTAAAGTGTGTTCTATGTGCTACACAATTGTGTTGATGTCCTTCAGTCATACTGGCAGAAAAAGTGAAATGAATGTTTCTTACGTCAGCATCATTAGTCATGGACTCAGTTCCAGTCTGGATGAACTTGGCCATTGGGCTGTATGGGAACATTTTCCTGTACTGCTCCCATAGTCCTTTCTCCTGCAGGTCTTGCCTGGCAGTCTTTCCCTTGATCAGGGGAATCCTACAAACAAAGTGTATAAAGAATCGACAAAACTTACAGATGTCCACCACTTTACAGCTGGACACGTTAGACAATAAGCTCTAGCCTCTACTTTGTGCAAGTTTAAAAGCTGAAAGCAAGATGGAGCACGATGGCCTTTAGAGTTTCCCTCAGGAATACCAGATGAAGAGATTGCCTTGTGACACTCCCAGCCTATTCAGGTGTTAAATGTCAGAGAAAAGAAAGTACAGGTTGCTTTTTCAAGCAGCCAAGTCAGACTTACTTATGGAGGCACTCGGAGAAAGCCACAAGGGCTGACAGAACGACGAGCCACTTCATCATGTTGGTTCCTTTACTATGGGACTCAGAGGAGTGAAGTTCCAGTCGCAGAGTTCAGCCCTTATATACAACGTATCAAGGTTGTTTCCAAAATGCCCTTCTCATAACTGCATATCCTCTATCAGCAGGAGATTAGAACTGTGATATGGTGATAAATGGCTTCTTATCTATAAGCAAATATCCAATTAAACAAACGGAAAATACTGTAAAACTTGGAAAAGTGGAACTTGCTTATTGTTTGTATCAATATGTGTATGTTGAGGGATATCTCAACATCATGAAAACACTGAGGAAGAAAGTTGAGAAAAACTAAACTGTTGAGAGAAACGTGTCAAACAACTGACTTTTGTTATCCAACAAAGGGCAGGTAAGTGTTTGTCAGATCGCCTGCAGCGTGCACTTCATACATTGATATGTAGATCAGGAGATCTGATGTCCAAGCTTTTGTTTAACACTGATATGAAATATTTCCACAGGTTTCCAAATGTGTGAGCTGTGTTTACTTGGGCAGGGCTTATGTGATAATAACAATACACAAAACAAAGACACAGAGGAGTGACTCGTAATGTGAGCAAGATTTATAAAATGCTAAATACATTCTTGAGAAATTTACCCCCCAAAAAAACTGTTTATATATCACAGTTTTTAGATTATTTCATATCATGTTTATAAAGTAAGTTTTATATATTTGATTTCATTGAGTCCATATAGCCTTGGGTGGCATTTGGTTTCATAAAATATTGATGTTGTTAATATATATATTAAACATTTGGTTTAAAATATTGACAGTAAAATTTGTCAAAGCACAGTTGTGATTGTTTGCTAAAAAATAGTAACAAGACCACAATGTAACAAAATTAATCAAATTATTTTCTCTAATAAAGTTTAAAGTTTTTAAGTAAGGTGTACATACATATACAAAGTAAAGGCAGAAATAGGGGATGTTGTTTAACTTTATTGTTTTATATTACTGGATTATCTTTTTATAGCTCTGTAGGGAAGTATTCAGTAGTACTGAAATTAAATATTTATGTAAAGTGTTTCACCGTTGTTGTTATGTAAAGTTCATAAATGTATGCACAAGAATAATATCATGAAGGTTAATCATATCTTTTTGACTTTTTCACACTAAAAATGTATTCACTTCCATCAATTGCATGATAAAACGGCATCATCTGACAAAGTGTATTTCAAACCATCTTGTACAGAACATTCACACAGTTCACATCACAGCATTTTTATTTTAGAGCTTTAAGAGCTTTTGAGCTCTTTACGTTCACTCAATTATTTCAGTGTAAAACAAATTGAACCTTTCATTGGAAATGTTCTGGTGGAATAACCCTGTGACATCTGCACCGATCAAATGTTTGTGTCAGATGCCTTTGGTCATCAGTGTGGTTATATAGGGAGGTCATGAGTCTGCTGGTGGAAGTCAAAGCACATTGTGACCTTCCTCATAATCAGTCTGAGATTAAAACCATTTGATACTTCCATCCCATTACGCACGTTATGTTTAATCAAGCTACATGGAAAAAAACATCACACTTAATACACATTACATGACAATGTTGCTATTGTACCTTTATTGACAATTATATGTATACATTACTCTTCTGATAAATTAACATAACATGAGCGTTAAAACTAAAAAGCAAATGTTTCGAACAGCTATTCAATGATCTGTGTTGTCATTAAGGAAAAAGTGTCGTATCGACTGTGGCTCTTGTTAGTTGGGTAAACTGTCTCAACGTCTCTTTTCCCTGTGTTTGTTGTGTGCAGTAATAGAATATACAAACTATATATTATAGTGCATAGAGTACACAAATGAAGAATTACAGCCAGTGAAGATAAGATATATGTTTTTGATCCTCAGCTTGTTGAAATCTTCCCTCTCAATCTTCATCTCAGATGTTCTTCCTGCTCCGCCTTTCTTCATCTGAATGCTTGGCCGTCTGTTAAAAGTCCATGTTTTTGAAGTCTTCAGTGCATCTATACTTGCTATCAGCGTATCTGGTGCACACCAGGTGGGGGAGACAGGGGCAGGTGTGGTGTTGCCTTTTTCCCGGATAAGGCACCTGAAAATGGGGGCAAAGAAAATAATCTGACAGTTTAAATCCTTCTCCAAGTGACAGGTGGAGCTGCAGGTCTTAAAAAGGGGTTCTTTAAACGCTTGAATTCAAAGATGGATGTGGTCGCCTGCGGATCAGAGTGATGCATGGCTCTGATTACTGTGGAGAGGATCAATAGGCTCTGCATTTATCAGCAGCTTTTTCTAAAGCTTCACGCATTCTGACAGTGGTTGATATCTTCTGTGTCAGTTTCCACTGACACAGAGATCAAGTGTGTGGGTGTGTGGGTGTGTGGGTGTGTG